ACTGCACTGAATGGTGTCATCTTCCGTGACACTGGGTTCCACGGTTTCAGCAGGATATGAAGCACTGCACTGCCTGGAGGTCCCAAGAGTACGAACAGTGTCATGTGAATGTTCTATCGTGGTCCTAGGTATAGATGAAAAAGTACTTTTGTTTATTTCAGACTCAGGTGTACCAGGAATGATGATGGTTTCATTTTCAGTTATAGTCAGTTCACTAACATTGTCAGTACACAATCTAGCTTCGCGCATATGTTCCTTCCTTTTCCTTTTCTGGTCCGCGTAGAATTTTTTACGTCCTTTTTTTGGCATCTCTTATTCAAAATACAAAATATATTTAAATCAGAGAAGGAAACAAATGTTTAGATAGCTTTTGTACGGAACAAACATGAGGGTTTGCAAGTGCCGGTTACACAAAATCAGTAACTAGTAATGTCTAATGTCATAAAAGCATTGTAACAGATTCAATTGTCACACTGGTCCTCAGATTCCGTTTTGGTTTTCTTGGTGGATGGTTCCACGCTGTCATCATTGGAGTCTTCTTGGGAGATGCCCAATTCCTCGGTATCATCTTTCTTGCTTTGCTTGCTGAGCAGTTCAATGCTGTCGTTGCCGGGATCGTCTTGTGAGTTGCTCATGTCCTCAGTATCACTGAAAATAACATCCATGTTTAGTGTTTCAAGTTTTGCTTCTTCTACTTCCCGTTTTAGTGTCTTTACTTTAGACGCAAGCTCATTTTTTTCCATGGACAGATGACTACAGTACTGTGTCAATTTTGCATTTTTTTGTTCAAGGGTACTGCAGTACTGAGTTAATGTTCTTTGCTTTTGTTCAAGGCTGTTAGATTTTCGTACAGCATTTGAAAGTGAACCGTTGGCATGAGAGTAAAACGCATTTAAAGTTGTCCTCATACACTTTATGGTTTCCTTCGCGTCACCTACATCATTCTCAGACAGAGAATACAGACTTGCAATAAAAAGGACAATAACTGCATTTAGTCAAAATAGAGTTATGTTTCTTGTGCACTGCACTTCATCTCACTGCCCTTGACCATTGGTATGAAGTTTCATTTAATTCCAACCATTAATTTTCAAGTTATGCACAATAAACAGTAACAAAGGAAAAAAAATCTAAAATGAGTCAAGAAAGACTTATGGTTTCTAAGCATTGCCCTTTCTCTTAATATACTTGACCATTGTATGAAATTGTATTGAATTCAAACTAGTAGTTTTCAAGTTATGCTTTGGACAAGAAAAAAGCAAAGTAGCAAAGGGCAATAACTCTATAATAACTCTGGACAGAGTTATGGTTCGGTTCTTCTGCACTGCACTTCCTCTTATTGTGCTTGACCATTGTATGAAGTTTTTTTGAATTCCAACCAGTACTTTTCAAGTTATGCTTCGCACAAGGAAAAGTATCAAAGGGCAATAACTCTGTAATTAGTGAAGATGGAGTTATGGTTCTTATGCAACTCTAAATATACTTGACCATTGTATGAAATCGTATTGAATTCAAACTAGTATTTTTCAAGTTATGCTTTGGACAAGAAAAAAGCAAAGTGACAAAGGGCAATAACTCTATAATTACTCTGGACAGAGTTATGGTTCTTGTGCACTGCACTTCCTCTTATTGTGCTTGACCATTGTATGAAGTTGTTTGGAACTCCAACCAGTACTTTTCAAGTTATGCTCCGCACAAGGAAAAGTATCAAAGGGCAATTACTCTGTAATTTGTCAAGATGGAGTTATGGTTCTTGTGCACTGCACTTCTTCTCAATGTGCTTGATCATTAAATGAAGTTGTATTGAATTCCAACCATTAGTCTTCAAGTTATGCTCCGGACAAAAAAAGCAATGGAAAAGAAACTAAGGGCAATAGCTCTGTAATTACTTTAGATAGAGTTATGGTTCTTGTGCACTGCACTTTCCCTTATTGTGCTTGACCATTGTATGAAGTTTGAATTCCAACCAGTAGTTTTCAAGTTACATGTATGCACCGGACAGGGAAAAGTAACAAAGGGAAATAACTCTGTCATTAAAGAAGATGGAGTTATGGTTTTTGTGCACTGCACTTTTTCTCAATGTGCTTGACCATTGTATGAAGTTATATTTAATTCCAACACTTAGCCTTCAAGTAATAGTCCGGACAAAAGAAAGCAATGGAAAAGTAACAAAGGGCAATAACTTTGTAATTTCTTAAGATAGAGTTATGTTTCTTGTGCACTGCACTTTTCCTTATTGTGCTTGACCATTGTATGAAACTCCTGTTAGTTATTTTCTCAAAAACTACACGTCTGCTCTTGATCATTGTGATTTTGTTGCGGGTGCTATCACTGATATAGTTCATTCTGGTTGTGTTTTAGAAGTTCCTTTTATTCCTTATTTAGTTAATCTGTTGCTCAATAGTTCTGGCAAAAAACGTCTTATTCTTGACTTCAGCGTTATGAATAGGTATGTTTGGAAAGAACATTTTAAGTTCGAGGACTGGTCAGTCGCTTTTAAATATTTGTATCCGGGAGGCTTCATGTAACCTCAGCATATCGACATATAGATATAGCTCCATCTCAGCAAACACTTTTTGGATTTTCGTGGATTGAAAACGGTTTTACAAAATATTATGTTTTCAATGCTTTACCTTTTGTACTGACATCGGCTCCATTTAACTGGACAAAGTGTTTACGGCCAATTGTTAAGCATATCAGGGAAAATGGTATATTTTTGTACTATTTTTAGATGATGGCTGGGTTGTAAATAAAACACTTCAACTGGCTAAGAATGACGTCATGTTTGTGAAGTCAGTTTTGATTAGGTCAGGTTTTTTTTATTAATTTGAACAAATGCGTTTTAGAACCAGTACAACTTCTTGAATGGCTGGGGCTTTTATGGAATTTAAAAGATAACTTGCTTGAAATTCCGGACAGGCGGATATGTAATGTGTCCGATTATATTGACGTATGTTGTGCGAAAATTCCTCTTTTAAGTGCACGAGAAATAGCAAAGTTCGCAGGGAAAATTATTTCATTAATGTCTGTTATAGGTAATATTTGCAAATTAATGACAAAACATTTGCATCATGTTATTGAATCTAGAAATGAGGGTTGGGACTCTGTTTTAGATGTTAGCCGGTTTGAGGGAGCTATTCGAAAAATCAAATTCTGGAAAAAGAAAATAATTAGTAAACCAATCAGACGTTTGTTCAGTACTGGTATTGTGTCAGTAACTGTCTATTCTGATGCAAGTCAAATAGCCTGCTCTGGCCTTTTCTCTCAAATTCTTTCGTCTATTTCTGTCAAGTTCTTTTTGTGTCTCATTTTGTTCTGGATCTCCTCCTCTGACCTTTTCTCTGGAAGTCTTTCGCCTATTTCTGTCGAGTTGTTTGAGTTTCTCATATTCTTCTGGATCCACTCTGACATTTTCTCTCAGAATTCTTTTTCTATTTCTCTCTATTTCTTTCTGCATCTCAGTAAGTTCCGGATCCAGTGCTCTGGCCTTTTCTCTCAAATTCTTTCGCCTATTTCTGTCAAGTTCTTTGAGTTTCTCATATTCTTCAGGATCTACAGCTCTGACTTTTTCTCTCGAAGTCTTTCGTTTTATTCTCTCTTTTTCATATTCACTGTTAATTTGTTCTGTGGTTGACACTTCCTTGTTTTTGTCTCTCAAAATTCTAATTCTCTTTTTCTCACTTTCTCTAAAAGACTTTAACTGTTCTTCCGACATTTCAACTAACCGTCTCTTTCTGTAATTTTGCTTTCTTTTAGATTCAATAGTCTGCACACTTTGTTGGAGAGAAGTTAACCTGCACTGTTGTTTCTGTGATTCTTTTATTGTTTGGTCACTCATGTAAGAACTAAACCAATCATTATTGTTTATATCACATAATGGCATATTACTAACTGGAAAGTTCTCCACTTCACCATTTACGATACACTTTTTTAAATGAGCACGAGCACTATGAATATTGAACTGTTGTAATGTTGGGTCATTTCCGAGGAAGCAACTGAATGCAAAGGCAATAGCCATCACACCACATATTGGATAAGCGCACTGCTGGGTTACATATGGATATTTCATTTTCGAAGCAAGATCTCTCCCATAAATAATGTTTAACTGCCTACATGCTTCTGAAAGAAATAGAGATCTGACTTTGGAAAGAACATTTTAAGTTCGAGGACTGGTCAGTCGCTTTTAAATTGAGATCTGTCACCTGCTTGTTTATGTGAGTCTGACATAAGTAAGTCATATACATATAACTGATTACTAGTATCACTGACACTATAAAATGATGTAACCCAGTGATTCAAAATAATTTTCATCGGAAATGAACAGTTCTGAAATGTGAATGCAATATAAACATTTCATGTTTTAAGGTACACACAAACTGTATTTAAATGAAGTGTTAGAAACTATAGCATTACCTGCTGATGACATCTTAAATCAGGATCTGCAGATGGTATGATACTGGTATGTTTCTCACTGGTCTGGCTAGCAGCATTGCTGGTGTAATGTTGAGCGCTGACCTCAGATGTAAAATGACTGCTGGCACTGCACTGAATGGTGTCATCTTCCGTGACACTGGGTTCCACGGTTTCAGCAGGATATGAAGCACTGCACTGGCTGGAGGTCCCAAGAGTACGAACAGTGTCATGTGAATGTTCTATCGTAGTCCTAGGTATAGATGAAAAAGTACTTTTGTTTATTTCAGACTCAGGTGTACCAGGAATGGTGATGGTTTCATTTTCAGTTATAGTCAGTTCACTAACATTGTCAGCACACAATCTAGCTTGGCGCATATGTTCCTTCCTTTTCCTTTTCTGGTCCGCGTAGAATTTTTTACGTCCTTTTTTTGGCATCTCTTATTCAAAATGCAAAATATATTTAAATCAGAGAAGGAAACAAATGTTTAGATAGCTTTTGTACACAACAAACATGCATGAGGGTATGCAAGTGCCGGTTACACAAAGTCAGTAACTAGTAATGACTAATGTCATAAATGCATTGTAACAGTTCAATTGTCACACTGGTCCTCGGATTCCGTTTTGGTTTTCTTGGTGGATGGTTCCACGCTGTCATCATTGGAGTCTTCTTGGGAGATGCCCAATTCCTCTGTATCATCTTTCTTGCTTTGCTTGCTGAGCAGTTCAATGCTGTCGTTGCCGGGATCATCTTGTGAGTTGCTCATGTCCTCAGTATCACTGAAAATAACATCCATGTTTAGTGTTTCAAGTTTTGCTTCTTCTACTTCCCGTTTTAGTGTCTTTACTTTAGACGCAAGCTCATTTTTTCCATGGACAGATGACTACAGTTCTGTGTCAATTTTGCATTTTTTGGTCAAGGGTACTGCAGTACTGAGTTAATGTTCTTTGCTTTTGTTCTAGGCTGTTAGATTTTCGTACAGCATTTGCAAGTGAACCGTTGGCATGAGAGTAAAACGCATTTAAAGTTGTCCTCATACACTTTATGGTTTCCTTCGCGTCACCTACGTCATTCTCAGACAGAGAATACAGACTTGCAATAAAAAGGACAATAACTGCATTTAGTCAAAATAGAGTTATGTTTCTTGTGCACTGCACTTCATCTCACTGCCCTTGACCATTGTATGAAGTTTCATTGAATTCCAACCATTAATTCTCAAGTTATGCACAATAAAAAGTAACAAAGGGAAAAAACTCTAAAATGAGTCAAGAAAGACTTATGGTTTCTAAGCACTGCCCTTTCTCTTAATATACTTGACCATTGTATGAAATTGTATTGAATTCAAACTAGTAGTTTTCAAGTTATGCTTTGGACAAGAAAAAAGCAAAGTAGCAAAGGGCAATAACTCTATAATAACTCTGGACAGAGTTATGGTTCGGTTCTTCTGCACTGCACTTCCTCTTATTGTGCTTGACCATTGTATGAAGTTTTTTTGAATTCCAACCAGTACTTTTCAAGTTATGCTTCGCACAAGGAAAAGTATCAAAGGGCAATAACTCTGTAATTAGTGAAGATGGAGTTATGGTTCTTATGCAACTCTAAATATACTTGACCATTGTATGAAATCGTATTGAATTCAAACTAGTATTTTTCAAGTTATGCTTTGGACAAGAAAAAAGCAAAGTGACAAAGGGCAATAACTCTATAATTACTCTGGACAGAGTTATGGTTCTTGTGCACTGCACTTCCCCTTATTGTGCTTGACCATTGTATGAAGTTTGAATTCCAACCAGTAGTTTTCAAGTTACATGTATGCACCGGACAGGGAAAAGTAACCAAGGGCAATAACTCTGTTATTAAAGAAGATGGAGTTATGGTTCTTGTGCACTGCACTTTTTCTCAATGTGCTTGACCATTGTATGAAGTTATATTTAATTCCAACACTTAGCCTTCAAGTAATAGTCCGGACAAAAGAAAGCAATGGAAAAGTAACAAAGGGCAATAACTCTGTAATTTCTTAAGATACAGTTATGTTTCTTGTGCACTGCACTTTTCCTTATTGTGCTTGACCATTGTATGGAATTGTTTAGAATTCCAACCAGAAGTTTTTAAGTTATGCTCCGGACAAGGAAAAGTAACAAAAGGCAATAACTCTGTAATTAGTGAAGATGGAGTTATGGTTCTTATGCACTGCACTTCCTCTCAATGTGTTGACAAATGTATGAATTTGTATTGAATTCCAACCATCAGTCTTCAAGTTATGCTCCGGACAAGGAAAATGCAACGGACGGCTGGACCGACCGACCGACCAACCGATCGACCACCGAGTGACTCCTATATACCCTCCCCAAAACTTCGTTTCGAGGGTATAAATATATGCAGGAAATGTTTATTAATATCAGAATTAGGGATGAGAAAAAAATACAGTCTGACTAAGACTCAAACCAGAATAGAAAGAAATGTTAACTGCATCAGAAGAATTGTCACTCAAAGAACAAACGAATTTGAAGACAATAAGGAGAATTACACGCAAAACAAGAAGTCAACTCTGAAAAGTGTCGTTAAGAAAGCATAATATATAGTTAACATTTATAAACTGTGGACACTGAAAAGTTACGAAGTGAAATAAAATTAATCATTTAATATTAAAGAAGTGCTTAAAAAAACTGACGATGAAACATTACTGACATAGAATTACAATGCTGAAAGTGAAATATTAAATAAACTGTTACAGTGAAGAATATAAATAGTATATAACTTTTACATGCATTGTACAGTAAAAATATAAATTGAAGCGCTAAATCAATGGACATTTGAATAAAATTGTGAAAGAGAATTAATAAATTAAATAAGAAGTGACTTGTGAAATATAAAAACATTGCATTGACTGGATGAATATTGTACCATAATAAACAAAAGTTATCATAAGAACTTCAGGACATATTTTGAGTTATCACAAGAACTCCGTGACATTTGAAAAATCCGTTATAAATCTATTAGCCTGGGCTTTATGTTTGCAACTCTCCACTTGAATTGGGTAATTAAGTATAGAAACGAAGAAGATCACAAATGAAAAGGTCAATATGTACGAATGAGCAAGTAGTTTGGAAATTTTACTCAAAACTACCAGAATTTTAAAAAAACATACGATGAAAAATGGACTAAAAGGTTCATCTGAAACATAATATAATATGTAGGGCAAGCTTAATTATCAAAGTTTAATTAAGCACCTCAAACTCCCCATTTAAAGGTAAAAATGACCATTTTTCACACGAGTTCTTCAAGTATATAGAAAAGTTTTCCACAGAAATCCGTAACATTTTCCAGGAACTCCGTGACAGTTATCATAAGAACTCCAAACAAGTTATCATAAGAACTCCATCCTTCGTGTAACACTTCCGCCCCGTGGTTAAACAAAATCGTAAAATAACACAACTTTTACATGAAGAACATGTTACTGGAACTATATGTAGCAAACAGGAACTTTTAATTAAATTCAGTAAAATTTACTTGTGACACTAAACGTCATATATGTTATAACATGGTTTAACATGTTTTAGTGACCTTGAAGACATTTATAGAAATTTGCTATGTAGTTATGCTACATATTTTATAACAGATTTCTTGATTGATAAAGAAATCTATAAATAGAACTTGAGATTTGTGATTCATGAAAAAAATGATCTCAAAAGACAATTGTTTATCAATTGACAGTGTTATGTACTTAGTAATTTATTTCATTATTTATATAATATGTGTGTTTAACAGTTGAAATTATTTAATTTGTTGTATATTTTAAGATTTTACATTTAAAAATTATTAATTTTGATTGATGGCAACAGGATTTTAGCCATAGAAACAAGGGGGCAATGTTGTGATTTGAAATTTGCAACTATAACTGTAACATAACTGAACTGCATGAACTCAACTCCTTACCTTAATTGACTTGAACTTGAGAAGTTATTTTTTCTTCTAATCTTTAATAGTGAGGGTATGTTGACATTTACTAGCCATAAAACATATAATGAGCTGTGTTTTACTAGAAATCAAAACACCAACGCATGTATACTGGTTATGAGCCAGATTTAATATATCCTATTTTATCCAATATGTTTCCTTGTTTATCCTCCATTTTCACGATGTGCAGCTCAATCTAACTTATAAGGGGAATTGTCACTTTCACTCGTTCCCTGCGATTAAAAATCCTATTGTTATTGTTTATAAATTATTTAAGTCACTGTTTTGCCAAGTAACAATGTTTAATTCCATGTATTTTTGTAGTTATGTTCCGTTTTCTTAGAAAAACGTGCTTCCACTTTCGCTTCAAGATGCCATTTTGAACTGTTTCCGGTACGTTGCTAGGGACGACCGGCTACAGCTAAGTTATTGACGAAATTCTGCGATCTGATTTTTGTGTATTTTCTTCATTGAAAAGGTATAACTTGTTAAAGATAATGCCATAATATTTGTAACAAAATGTTCTTTGTCCATTTTTATTATTTCATAGGTCTAAGACTCTATGTTTAAATTTCTAACCGTTTTGGTAAATCAACCAATATTTCTTGGTCGGACCAACCATTTTTTGGCACCAACCGCAACCACTTTGGTAAACCAACCACTTCAACCACTTTACTTTGGTTGGGATTTGTTCTGGGTATAAAAGGGCCCAGATTTTTGGTTGAAGAGCTCAGTCTTGACCAGAATTCCAGAGGCAAAACCCCGTTTTGTTGAGTTACAAATTTGAGCGGAAAAATTTATATTACATATTAAAGTAATTAAACTATTCTTGATAAATAACGATTTATTTATTCAGATTAAACAGTTCTGAGCTATTTTCTAGTTATTTAATCTTTATTACACATTTTTTATTAACACTTTATTGTTTGAAATAGATTATTTAACTGCTTGTTGAATTTAGTCACGGTTCACTGGTACGCTATTTTTCCGTGTTTACTATTCACGTGTTAGACATTATGATACATTAAATTAAAGAAGATCTATATTATTTAGAAAAACGGTTTTAACATAAATAGGACTTGAAAACTTTTGATGATTTCTACTACAAACTTTTACTTATTTATATTTTCGTATTGAATCTGTTGCTGAATGGTAAAAATACAATTGTGCTCATGTGTTGACAATTTATTATTTTGTTATTGTAACTTTGTTATAACCAAAATAAACTCGCAATTACTACTGGAATAAACAGTGTTTAAATGTTACAGAGAATTTATTTATCTATGTAGAGATAGTGTTCCGTTAATTCGCGAAATTAATTCATTGAATATTTTTAAATCTAGAATGAAAGAAAAGTTTAAAGCCCCAGTAGTACCTAAACACTTTTTGTTTGGTATAAGATATTTGTCAGTTTTACATGCTCGTTTAAGGAACAATTGTAGCAACTTACACGCTGACCTTTTAAAAATCATTTGAGAGCACTATATATTTTGCTGTCCATTATTTAAACCTCAGAGACTTATACTCTTCGCAGAAACCAGAATTTTTCATCCTTTTAATGTTGAGCTATTACTGTGGGGTAGAACAAATATTTGCGGCTGTCCAAAAATTTATCAAAACTACTGACCGTTTTCGAAACACATGATATTTCTGTAAATCGGCCAATTGTATTAATCCTAATAACCTGGTACCACAAATAATTGACAATCACATTTATGATGGACGTTTACTCCCAATGACGAATAATGCTAAATGCTGGATCCTTAACCTTGTCGTTATTATATAAATACATAAATAAAAAAAAATTTCTTTCTTACTTATT